CTTGAGCGGTACCTGGATTGTATATGATCTTAAAGTCAAATTGTTGTAGTGCCATAGACCATTTAGCAAGTCTAGGCTTATCGATTTTCCACAGTCATTGAAGAGGCTTATGGTCAGACCTCACGGTAAAAGTTCGACCAATTAAGTATGGTCGACCCATTAGAGGCCCGACCCGGTAGTGGGTTCGCACTTCGCCGCAGCCGCGGAAGGTCGCACGGTTCGCCGCTGTGAACCTAGTCGCCGAGGGGCGGACCGGCGCACCAGTGGCTGTCGCAACGGCCGGGGAGACGCACGCGACCAGCGCCCCGGTGTCGACCAACGCAACGAACACTTGATCCTCCAAGTGCATCGCGACCATGGGGGGGGCGGCGACGCAGCACACGGCTACCGCCTGGCCCAACGCTGGTCGGCGCGCCGAAAAGGGCGTGCTGGTTCGGCAGGAGTAGCGGTCTGCTGGGCGTCTTCTCGGAGGTCGACGGCGGTCGGCTGCCGATCAGCATACGGGGCTGGCGGCTGGGGGCCTGGAGCTTGGACCTTGCCCGCAGCGCAGTCCCGGCGGTACGCACCGCACACTTGCTTGGAGTGATTCGGCTTGTTGCAGTAGTAGCAGATGCGGCCGAACGCGAGACAGGCGGACCGCACCTCGCAGGGGCCGTCACGTGCGGGGCAGCGGCGGCGTTTCACCCGGACGGTCGGGGCCGAACCGACCGCGGCCACGGCGGCCGAGTCGTCGACGGGACCCTTGCGGCGGCTGGCGGGTATCAGCAGGAGGAGGTCGTCTAAGGGGCACTCCGAGGCGGCGAGGCGGCCTAGCTCCACCTTCACTTTCTCGGCGTCTTCCGGGCAGAGAGTGGAGGCGCATGGCAGCAACAGCTCCCGCTCTTCCATCGGGGCGTATCCGGCGTCACGAGCGGTACGGTTGTGCAGGCGGCGCCACAGGCAAGCCTGTCTGCCACCTCCGTTGGATCGCTGCCCGCCACTGTGGCTATCTTGTCCCGCCAGACGCCAGCCGGATAGGCGGCGCCACGTCTGCGGAGGATCCTCAGCCGGGCCTCCTCATACGTGACGAGACCCAAGTCCCGGAGGTCATTCTTCGCCTCCGCGTGCAGGCGCGGGCACTCCAGGAGCTTGGTGAGGTAGTCCTTCTCCGGCACGTTTTGGGCGTAGAGAAGGTTTTCGAACTCCGCAAACCACGGGTCCAGCTCGCCCCACGCGATGTTTTTGTCCGCACGCACCACCACTGTCGGGGCGGTGGGCACAGGCGCGGGCTCGGGCGCGGGGACCGGCGCCGGCTGGGGTGGCGCGGCGGGGGCGGGTGCGGTCTGCGGGTTTGCCAGGGCCGACTGGAGGATCGCCAGACACCGCTGCAGCTCGTCGGCAGACGGAGATTGCGGTGTACTTGGCGCGGGCGCGTCTTGTCGGGGCGGCGGCGAGTCGTCAAACACCGAGTAGGGGCCCGGGGTTGGTAGTCAATAAAAAGCCCGCCAGGGGTGCGGGTGGGTGCGCCGTAACACGCCCCCCCAGGTGTCGAAATGATCGTCCCCGATCATTGGTTCTTGCGGCGAGCTTCGTAGGCGACACGACGCGGTTTGGAGCGTTCGAACGAGTCGATGAGGGCGGGCATGTGCTCGCGGACTCGCCTCACGGGTTCCCAGTCGGGACTACGCAGCCCTCCCAGTACACTAGGTACCTGGGGATGCCTGCGCGGATCCGGCGCGTGGCATGCAGCGTGGGCGGAGACCATGGGAGTAGGGGGGTGTCCGCGAGGACTGGCCGCAGGTCCTGGGGGGAGGGGTTGGGGTCGGGGTTGGGTGGGGACTGTCCGCCACTGCGAGTCGCG